TAAGGTCTTTTCTAATCTGAGCAATTCTATGGTTCTATTAAAAAATCTAATAGCTAACTTAGGGAAAATAAATTAAGTTCCACATAATTAATGTTAGCATTGTTAATCAGGATATTTGAAAGGAAAAATAATTTTTCTCCAGAGATGAAAAGAAAATCCTATCTTTTTGAAAATTGGAGGTTTTGTTCATTTCAGTTCTTAGAAAAATAAAGAACTGGCTGGGGTCGGGCATAATGAAGGCAAATTCTGAAATGCCCTTTCAGAACTGCTTCACTATCCTGACGTGAACTTTCTCTGATATTCCAGTAGTCTTCAGAGAATAATGTTGGTAATACTGCAGAGTTCTAAATTATGATTTGACAGTGCTAAATTCTGACTATTCATAACTTTGTGCATGAAAAACCTGATTCATGTGCTCAAATAAAAGCATCACTCCAGTAAAGTAGGCTATGGCTTTTATGCAGAATGATGAATGGTGTCCAATATTTAAAACTAATCTATTGTTACTTTTGTCTCTCTTCATTGTGAAGTTCTTTTGTTTCCCATTTATGTATTGTGGGGTGGAGAAAATGACAGATAACACACTTGTGTCATGGACAATTATTGCATGATTTGGCAACATCATACATAAAGGAGCAGTAAGTGACAGATAAATAGGAACTGTTGTGCTGCATTAGACTAATGGTGCACATAGTTCAGTGCCTCTTGTCCTGCAGAGAGACAGTTCTAGGTGTCTGTAGATCTGGAACTGATGGGTTTGCACCTCAGCATTTCACAAAACCTCCATCAGCTCTGTGACAGCCCCTCTGCATGGCCTGTCATTCAGGAAAAACAAGGAACAGACTTTTCAACAGAAATAGGTACTGTTTCACATCACTGTTAACTCTGAGGACATCACGGGCCTGACGCATTGTGTTTGGTTCTGACAGCTAACTCATCTTTGCACATCCATTGAGCGCTCATAAATCTTAGCTTCAGTTTTGTGTCTAAGGTTTTCAGTGTATTGAAAGTTTCAGTGTACTTAGAGTTGCTTCTGACTTTAATTAGCTAGCAGGGCATGCCAAGAGTTCTGAGCATTTAACAGCCTTCCTTCTTTCCCTCTGTGCCCTCTGTGTCACTTTTCACATCAGGGATTTTGAGCTGATGTATCTTGACCTTCATCTTGGTGGAAGCGGCTGTAGCTGTCGCTTACGTTGTTCTGCTCAAGTGTTGAAACATTTTTAAGTATGTAATTAAAGAAACTGTTCGTGCCTGTTGTTTTTTTTTTTAAGATGTTAGCCATATAGAATAAAAATAACAAATTGGAGCTGGCAAAAACGCAGAGTAAGGAATAAGCTTGGCTGCCTGTTGGGCAGTACACAATGTCAGTGTCAGTTGCTCGCTGGGGTCTTTTCACAGAGCTGATCATAAACACTTTCTTAATGTAAGCTCGAAGAAGAGATGGCACGTTGAGAAGACTTGTCTCTCCCATGCATGACTTTAGGCAAAGGAAGGCATTCCGTAACATGTAATTCCAATTCTGTTGCTCAACATATGGTGAATGGTGCTGTTGCCAGCTCTGCAGGGAAAGCACGTGTGTAGGTGTGGGCAGGCGAGGGGCAAATTCCATTCCAAGAGCCAATCTCTAAGCAGTTCTACTCACAAAGCAGTGTCAGCCTAATGCTCTAAATCCAAGGGGGATTCTCGACTTTGCATAGTAAAATTACTTATTAAATTACTTATTAAATAAGAAGGCTAAATTCTAATAATTGGAGTGTAGTGTTCTTTTACTATGTGAAAATAAAATCAGCTGGCCACTAACGTCATTATTAATGTATAAGATGAGACAGAAATATAGATGGGCCTTAACAACACTTTGCCCCTTTGCCCATTTCCCTCTTCCCCACAAAAAGCATAAAAAGCATGCGCAAGGGCCTTCTGATAAACGTTGTATCACTACAGTATTAAAATGTAGACAATTTATAAATTATCTTAACTTGAATGCAAGGCATCTTGTAAACAGTATTTATTATGTTCCCATTGAGATTAACATATAAAGGAAAATGTCCATTATCAATAACATTGCTTATTTTCTAACCAGGTGCAGGAATTATACTTTCAGCTACTCTAAACCTAATGTGTCCTTTTGTTACTCATGAGCAGCTTTTACAACTGTTCAGTTACATATCTCTTAAAGTAGTCATACTGCAATCTCTGCATTTTGAGTGGCTCGCAAATAAATAAAACAAGCTTTTTTGCATAAAAAATACATTCTACAAACGTAATTAAGTATTAAAATCTACATTTTTATGAATATAATGTCTTCATATAGAAGATGAATCCACTGTAAAAATCTAAGAGGTTTTGCTTCCTTTTGTCATTAGGAGTAGTATAAAAGATTTTTTTTTCACATTGCAACACTGAGCACATCTTGTACCCTTGGAAATGAACTGCAGTGAATTTTGTTAAGGTTCTGTTCTCCATTCTCATTTTCACACTCAATGAGCCACTACTGTTTTAGTCCAAAAGGGATCAGTCAGTAAAGCTGCACAGCTGAAACTAGTTGCAGAGTCTAGTCAGATTCTTTGAAACTCATTTGTATTTAGCCAACAGTCTCAGACTGAGCTGCAAATACTGCTCAGGAATACAGCAATGACTGCTTTTTTGAGGGTAATTTGGGAATACGAATCAGATTCAAGAAAAAAAAAAAAAAAAAGACTTAAAAAATGTATCATACGTATCCTGTTACCTGTATGATGTTATGAATATTAAAATTTGTTAACATCCAAACATTTTTTTATTTGCATGAATAGATTTGTGTTTTTCCTAAAAGTAAATATTGTTACTAACACACAACTTTTTATTAAAATTCAGATGTTGGTAAAGGATTAATAAAACTCCACAAAGTAGAAATGTAGGCTCATTGTAAGTTTGTCGTGATAAACGGTGTGAAAGTCTGGCAGTAACACAATCATTTAAACTGGTACTACGTCTCCTGAGACTGTGATGAGGAAAGAAAACATGAAATTTTTCTTTTGAATCCTCCCTCAAATGCTGCTGTGGCACTCCAGAAAGACTCTTGAATGGGCATAAAGCAAAAGGCAGCAAGAGCGGCTGCGTGCTGAGCTTAGGCTCAGAGTCACCTCGCGTTGTTATCCTATATAGTTTGGCAGCCAGGATTGATACGACATGATTAGGAAGGGCATGCAGGGTTTTTGGGACAACGTCTCTTGTGATTATGCACAGGGTCTGCTCTGGGGTGGCAGCGGAGGTGGCACAGAAGTCTTTGCATCTCACACATCTGGCCTGGCCACCCAATTGTTGCACTAAGGAAAGTAAAAGGAGCAGTGGTGAATCTTGGGTAAAGATACAACATTATTACCTTTATATTACTGCTCCTAAAATCAGTAGGCAGTTTGACACTGATGTCAACCAGGGCTGAGCAGGAAAAATGCATAACTTCATACAGAGGTTATCTATCTATATATCTGTATATCTTGACTATCCTCACAACTACTATACCTCATAAATGATAACTGTACATCTTTTATCAGAGAGTGACACTTGATGACAAGAAGTTAGTTTACTGGCATGTCACCACAGCCACCAAGCTTTGGTTTTGAGCACTTTCTGATAGAACAAGCATCCTCTGAGTCAGCGTAGAGTCAGGCCTCACCAGTTCCCAGACAACTAATTTTTTGTGTATTCGAAGCAAATTAACCAAGATTTGCATACTTGTTTTTAACCGTGGCTTCTCTTTTGCTGCTGAACCAATGTTCTAGTTCATTTCTTCTTTTGTTTCTGTCAGAAATGTCATCGTAACACTGAGCAGAATTTATCGCTGCTGGTTGAAGGCAACTCAGCTCCACTGGCTGCCTCCTACCATCTAGTGGCACCTTCCGCACAGTGCTCACTCAATTGGAACAACTGATTAGAATAGTTATGCAGAGAATGATAATAAACACATACTTTTGAGTGGAGAAGAAACATTGCTGTGAAAATGAAAAATAGTATTCATATATATGAACAAGTTATGGGAGCCTAGAACAGTCTAAATTAGTAATGTCAGAGAAAAACCCTGCATATGGTGATTCCTGAAAGAGTGAGTCAGGTTTGTTGCTTGAGTTCTTACCCTTATTTTTGTGGTAGCACGTGGATTTTATGTTGAAAACTGCAGAATAAGACTATTTACATTAACGAAATGCCTATTGGAAACACGCTTGGTTTGCTGCTTACATAGACATTTAAACAGCCCAAATAAAAGACTTTATAAAAAATAAAGAGGAGAGTATAGTTTCCTTTTTGCTTCTACAATTTTATGAAGTGCTTTTGTAATAAATATTTCTATTTGCATGGGAACTGCCGAGTCACGGCCTGAACCTCTGATTGATCACTTGAGGCGAGCCATGAGTCAGCCAGAGGAGCACAGGTGAAGGCAATTCTCCTGTGCTGCTCCTAGACCTATTTAAGAGCTGGCTACCAGTGGGGAAGGATCTCGTCTGGAGATCCCTTCTTCTGGTGGTTTCTGTAGGTAAGCCTTCCATTTATTCTCCTTATTATCCTAGTCTATTTTGCCTAATTCTCTTGTGATTATAACATCTTAATATCCATTGATTATACACTATTTCGCTTGAGAAAAGAGATTAAATGTCAGTTTATTAGGAATCTCAGTTTGGGGAGTTTTCAATCAAAAGGCAAGTTCTGACTAATTATATGGCTCTGAACAAACATGAATCATCTAAATGCTTTCTATTCTCTGAACAGATACTTTTTTTTTTTTTTTAATTATTTTCAAGAAGTGCTGGCTTTGGTGAATTAGACTACAGAGGAAACCAAATTTCTACGAAATTCTGAAAAAAGCCCATTTCTTTCTTTCTCCCCACAGCAAATTAACAAGGCAAATTGACAGAAGCTAGAATGTAGGAACTCTGCTTCCAGGATACTTTTTTTTTTTTTTTTCTTAAAAACTTGTGCTATTCAATATTCCAGTCATATTCATACATTATCACCATATTTTCCAGGGTGGAAAAATTCCCATCCGGTGGACTGCTCCTGAAGCTATAGCTTACCGCAAGTTCTCTTCAGCGAGCGATGCGTGGAGCTACGGGATTGTAATGTGGGAAGTGATGTCCTACGGTGAGAGACCATACTGGGAGATGTCCAACCAGGATGTGAGTACTCTACAGGACTAATCCGAATGTTGCTGAAATGCTCCTTGAAAAATGGTCTCTCTCTCTGCCTTCCTTTGCTTTCTCATTCACTTTCTAGGCTGGAACCTGAACTTATTTAAATCAGTATAACTCCATCAACGGAACAGTTAATCTATGTAACCTGAAGACTTGACCCACTATTTACTAATACCTTGATGAGTTTCATCCAAAGGATTAAAGACATATTAGAGTTATAAGCAACTTGCCAGGCTCTGATGCTAGATATATATATGGCTTTCATCCAAATCCCTGGGAATCTGCATCAGATATGCAATTTGATACAGTTCTCAGCTAAGCTATAAATCAAGATTTGAGGGAATACTGGAACTGTTCTGATGATAAATATGGTCCATTATCTCCATTACACTCTGATGGTACCTTTCAGTAGGCACACATGGATAAATGCTAAAGGAGTAAAGGTTAAGCTGCCATGAGAAATGTATTTGCAAATTCTCCTTTTTACAAATTAAATACATTATAAAGTTTTAAGAATTTAAAGATTTAAGTGTTTTATAAATCCTTAAAGACTATTCATAGGCTTAACTACAGTGCAGGACAATAACAAAGTAATACTTCACTCTTAACAAAGTAATACTTTCCTTTGACATGTTTGCAGAACTCACAGCCAAATAAGCTTTCCTAGTTAAAACACATCTAATAGTAACACTGAAGGCTTGTCCTAGCTGATGTCAAAAAGAAAAGGGAGAATGCCTTTTTATCCACCACAGTTTGAGTTGCTACTGATTTTGTTATCTGATGCATACGTACCACTGCTCAAACTGGCATAGTCATTCTTCCCACCAGCCATCAACCTTTATGTCAGAATGCAAAATACCAGCCAACCCATCTTAACTTCTCTATGTGAATAGAGTGCCTCTGCATGGGTTCTGAAGAGCTGACAAGACTTTTCCCAGACGGCTGTTTTCATACTGTTGCTAAGTTATTCGGCTGTTGAAGGTCTGGTTGCTTGTTAAGGCTGATCAGTCATCTGGGGATGAGGATCTGAGAAAGCTTTTCATTAAAAAAGCATCATTTCAGAATGTGTTTTTTTTTTTTAAAAAAAAAACAAAAGTGGAACTTAAAAAAACTTAAGGCCTTATTTCCTTTGGACTTGTACTCAGTAGTATGTATCCTACTTTTCTCCAGCATTATGCTTGTGAGTTCACCCTTTGGAATAAGATCACATCTCCTGTACATTACTCACTCCCCCTTAACAATACCTACAGCTTCTATCCCCTCTTTACACATCTACCAGAGAACAGCCCAGCTCCCTGCTCTCTTCCTCAGTTAACACCGGGTATGGGATGATACATGTGTGGTTTTGAGCTGCCTTCCTGTTGATCAACCAGGCATTGGCAGCTGATTGTCCATCTGAAGAGCAACCACTGAGCTGAGACACACCTTTTCCTTCAGCAGAGACATTTTGGTACTGCCTGAACTAACACTTCACAGATCTATTGTCAAATAAGCAGATGAGCCCAGTAGGCTCAATTGTATTTTATACTGCTAGCAATGCATTAACAATTGAGATGACCTAGAGTAACTAAGATCTGCAATGTGGCTGAGGCAGGACACACAGGAGATTCAAGTTATTCAGGAGCAACAGCTGAAGACAACTAGGCAGGAACTTTAGGAAATTTAAAATTAAACATCTCTGTTTAAATAACTGAATTAAGCTCACTTTTTTTTTCCCTGAGGCACAGTGTGCAATCCTCTGCATGCAGATTTCTCACATATTTAGGTATCTGTTTCACACAACTGAATATATCAACAGTAAATTTTACATTCTGCCCAGCTGCTGATTTTAAAACAAGATGTTTAATTTGATTTAAGTGTGCCGGATAGATTTGAAGTTAATAAAGTGGATGAACAGGCAGTCAGGCTAATAGTATGAGTAACCCACCCCAGCTGTTTCCTTGCCTGAACAGAGAAATGCTCATCAGCACCTGAACTGCCACAGCATACAAGCACTGATTCCCAGCAAACAGTCATTGTTTTCCTTAAAATGCCACACTGTGAGATGTGGTGTTTTAGGAGCTAAGAAGTTAAGACATCTCTTGCAGCCTTGCAATAGCACAGGGTGCTATTCTTGAGCTAATCTTCCATTCAGAAGCAAAGCTGAATGCAGTCAAGGCAATATCAGCCTGTCTGTTATATACATGCTGTTGCAAAAGCTGATTTGCATGCATTGCAATGGTTGCATCTGTATTGCGTGGAAGGCACTTTATATCCAAAAGCACGTGTATCCTGACGCTTTCTACCTCTCCAAACTAACAGAAGCAATGGTTGGTTTCATTGTGAGCCTTCTGTTAAGGTGAGATGGAACAGAACGTGAAACTGAGAAAATAGTATTACCATATCACAGAACAGCAAAGGCTGAGGAACACTTCAAGATTGTCTCATCCAACTCCCTCATGAAGGTCAGCTGAAGCAGTTTGCTTGGGGCCATCTCTCTCCTGGATTTTGAATACCTCCAAGGAAGAAAACTCCACAACTTGTCAGGGCAATCTGTGAAGGTTCTTAATCACCCTTGCAATAGAAAAATATATTCTCATATTTTTATGGAATTTAATATTTTTCAGTTTGTGTCCACTGCCTCTTTTCCACTCGGCTGCTCTGAGCAGTAAGAACATTAAATGTCCGCATGTGAGGAGGTCTCGTTCTTCCATCCCAATAAGCCTTTCCTAGTTGAGGGCCTATGCTACCCAAAACATAGCTATGGCTCACAATCGTTTTTGCTCTTGCCCCTATTAGTTGCCACTGCCATGCTACTCTGAGCATATCGCAGCCAGTAGTCACTCACCTAGGTTTCTTCACTATGTAATTGGTATTTTACCTCTCAGTTCTATTTGCAAAACACTGTTCACATTTTAAAAAATGTAGAGATTATTGAAGTCCATGTAGCCTGAACAAAGCCTGTCCTATCATGATTCCTAGCTTCCATGCAGTGTCCTGCTGCTAGCTGTAGTGTCACCTCACTGTAACTCTGTCTTTGCCTTTAATTTTCTTACTCCATTTATCTAGCTCCACATGATGAGCAGCTGTGAGCAACTGCAACTCAAGCAGGTGTGGGAAGAGAATGCTTCTCTGATGCGTCTTTGTGTCTCACTGTCACGCAATCTTGTGCTACCACAAGGAGAAGAATCTCAGTCTGTATTCTAGCTGAGTCATTTCATCTGGTGTTGGGTTAGCTCTCTAGGAGAAACTCAGCCTTCACCTCTTTTACCTCTGTAATCTTAATACTTCCCTTCACGTGTACTCCAAGCTACCCTTGTCTCTTTCTCTTCTGTTCCTTACAACTGGATACAGAAGAAGTGGGAAAGGGGAACTTTCCCAAGTCTGTATGGCCCTACTATTCACCTCTTTAGAGAAGGTTTCATGTGATTTGTAGTACCCTTACAGAGAACTCAGGTGACCAGATTAGAGTCATACACCACACAGAAATTCATTTTTCCCTTTCTTTAAATCAGGCTTCAGGCCCGTTCTGTTTCTTCTGGCAGAAACTACAATTTATTCAACACTATGCCAACCATGACAATTCATTAATGACCCCTCCATTTAGGGCATATTAAATATTCTGCTACAGAAGGAGAATAACAACATTTAATCACGTGTACATCCAAAATATAAGTATCTGTTAGCACATAATAGTGGTTTGGACCCTATGGATGCTGCTTATGCTAATGATGCAGACTCTTGAGAGCTCTCCCTGCTGTTCACCAATGCACAGTGAAAAAGGCTCCTTTACTCTGGAGCCCTGCTCACAGGCTTCTGCTTCTGAAATGTTAACAGCAAGTACCTGTGACTTTCTAAATACATTCAGTGACTCTAAGTGCCGTTGGGAAATTTCAAGTTGTATTGTAAAGCTTATTTTGCTGGATTTGGGAGCATGTGCTTATCCACATGAGCTTATTTTGCAGAAATAATAGGACTTTCCTAAAGGTTACTGATACTGTATAGATGGCAGGGAAAGTAACAGGAAGGAGCATGCACTAAATAAATTTATAAAAGACTTATTATACAAACAGTTGTTGGTAAGGACTTGCATACATATAATCGACATTCTGCAACAGCAAAATATCTCTCAATATTAAGAGTACATGTTAGTATTTTCTGGGAATTGTGTTTTGATAAAAATGTTCTTTATTTATAGAATTGAGCAGGGTTTTGTAGAGCACCAGCAGTTTTCATCCTACAAACTCCTCAGGTCTGGGGTATTTTTTATCATGCTGTCTCGTAAATTGCTTTTCTCTCTAAAAAATTTTGGGAAATTAGTTCACTTTTGGGTTACAGCTAAGTCGTGTTTTGAATGGCAGCAGCTGCTAATTAAATGTATGTTTCTCATATGAATAAAATGGTAGCAAATTATATGCCCATCCCTACCCAAAGGAAGAAACAGCAGCAGAAGTTCTCTCAGCGTTGTCTGATGCTGCACCTCCTTGCCACGTGAGTACACCTTCCATCAGATCATAGAATCATAGAGTGGCTTGGGTTGCAAGAGACCATAAAGCTCACCCAGAGCCCCAATTATCTCAGACTGCCCAGAGCCCATTCAACCTGGCCTTCAAGGGATGGGGCATCCACAGCTTCTCTTAGCAGCCTGTGCCAGCGCCTCACCACCTTCTGAGTAAATAACTTTTTCCTAACATCTAACATAAATTTCCCCTTTTAGAGGGGAAACGCGCAGATTAGTATAGAGGGGCCAAACTGCTTCTGCCAAGGGACTCTTGTGTAGCCCCTTCATCACAGAAATGAAAGCTTGAGGAGCCAGCACAGATAGCAAAGAGTCCAAGCTGATGTGAAGTGTAAAGCTGATATCTGTCACCTAAATAAGCCCAAACTGATTTTCAGACACTGCAACAGTTCATAGGTACACATTAGGTTACTGCAAGCCAGAGAAGCTCGACACCTCACAGTTCTAGCATCCTCTATTTATATTCCTAAGCAGGGATTTGGAAGCTGAACTTTAGGCAACGGAGTTTGAAAATGTCTCTCATACATTTTTTAATACTGTACACAGTATAATGTAGAGGCTTGAAATGTTATTAACTTTGAGAAATGTTCTTGTTTGAGTAAATAACCATTTTATTATTGTGGTAAGTCACTTCAGACCTGTGTTGGTGCTGATTAATGCACTTCTTAGATGGGTGGCAGGCACCAGAGATGTCCATTAATTAGGGCTGCTGCACAGTCTGTCATGTCTTATTGCTTAATTAATAAACATTAGCTAAGATATTGAACTTTCCAAGGAAACTAGTGTACTGATGAACAGATTGTGCTGAGAGCTTGCCTGGCTAATGCCTGTGTGAGGAATGGAAGATTTATATTCCATGCACTTGGTTTGTAGAACAGCTGTGAGTAAAGTCTACCGGGACACCTGTTAGAGGCCACCGTATAAATTACTGCATGTTGCAGAACTATGGCATTCAAAAAAAGAATAAGTAAATAAATAAGAACATTTAATGGATTGCAATCAATAGGCAAGAAAACTATTGTGGCAAACAGAAAGTCCTTACAATTATGGCAGTTTCTTGTAGTAGTAATAGTAAGTTACCCTGAAATATTTCCCTGAATCCACAGATTTCAAAACACTTGGCAGCACCTGGAATTGGCTCAGTACCATGAGGCGCAAGCAGCTGCCTCACTCACCCAGCAGATTTTTCAGATGTCAGCAGGACAGAGGGACATTGTGCCCTGGGGACGTCCTCTGCCTCTGTGCCATTAGAAAACCTGGCAGTTGAATGTCAAAAGCAGAGTCTTTATTGTTTATAATAATGGAACTATCCGAAAGATTACGGCTTAGTTAGCTTTATTTTTACATGCCATTTTTTTCCAAATGGAAATTAGTTTAAAGCTAAAGAATACAATTTTGTGTAGAAGTCCATGCACATTTTTCAGACCACTTTTATAGTATAATTGTGTTCAACCTTCACAGCTGGTTCTGACATCAAACAAAAAATAATAAAGCGTGTTTAACAAACTCTGATCATTAATGTCATTGGTGCATATAAAAAGACTGTTCCCCTTTATAAACCTAAAAGCCTAAGCATGAAAGAGCAAATAAATAACAAGTTATGTTAACTTTAAAAAATCCCCTTTCCCTTAGAGTTCATATTCTCACCTGACAAAAAGATCTACATGTGTAAATGCACCCTGTCTGTTTTTCTCACCTCATTGCTGATCCACCGGATGTTCTCATGAGTTTTAAACATCTTCATCACTGAAAAGAAACAAATCGGAGTATGGAATATTGTACTATTTTACTCCTTTTCATTCCCATCACACATTCATCACAAAGCCTTTTTGTTAGCAGTCTCAGGGCTTGGTATGTACAGAAATGAAGCTCATGCTCTTTTGCTTTCAGGCTGAAATTGATGGGACTTCACTGAGAGGCTTAGCATTGGTTGCTAGAGCTTTCACTGTATCCTTCTTGTAGGTACAGACATTGAGCCCCTTTCATGATTCATATGGGGCTTCTTCAGCCTTCAAGCTGACAAGGAAAAATACCTTTAAAAGATATTAAAATATATAATCTTGATAGATTACATAATATATAATCATATGTTACACAGAAAAATGTCATACTTCTCCTCTCATGTGATTGGATATCTGATTTCTCTGTTCAGAAATAGGAGCTGTGCAAGTAGCAGAGTAGGGAGTACTGAATTAAACAGTTCTTCCTCTGACACCTGACTCCCACTGCAGTGTTTGACACCTCTCATCACATCCACTCTGCTTCCTTGACTCTAAAAATAATGCTTGCCTCAAAGGGATACTGATAAGGCAATATTTGGAGATTATTTTTAAAATATTCTTGTCTTAATGAGAAATTATAATTATTCCAGTAACAGCTGGCATTTCCCTTTATACTGAAATGTTTCTTTTGAAAAGGAGAGGGAACAAAATGGGCTGTAACTGCTTTTTTCAAAGATACCGTGAAATAGAGTATGTCAGAGAAAATATAATGTCTGCAAAATTGCGGTTGCGTTTGCTTTCCTCATGAATAATTTATCTCAGAAAAAAATCCTCCTCCATTCTCCACAGTCGTGTCAAACAAATGCCGTCTGTCCCGTAGAAGCAGAGAAGCTATTCTTCTTCCTTAAAAACAGAGAACATTTCAGAAATGCATCAGTTACAATGGGTAGAGTTAAATGCAAAGACTCTGATATCTGCATTTCCTGCAGAGGCAATGACAAGTATCACCTAAGCTGTACCCCATAGTGTAATAAGCACCTGGGTTTTATGAAGCCACTTCTGGCGGTTTGCCTGAGATACTGCATTTTTGACAGCTTTGCGAATAACGTTTCGTGCTTGTGGGACTGAATTTCACCCATCCTGAGTCTGTAACAGCAGCAATCTGGGAGCACATCCAGTGGTAGGAGGGCTTTGAGAAGACGTTTCTCTGGCAGCCTGGTGGGATTTTTCCAAGGGTAGCCATTTTGGGAACCCACCTTTTGGAGCATTGAAGCAAATCCTGGGGAAATAAAGAAGTAGCCAGGAAGGCAGGTGGAAGCATCACCATACAGCCCTATAATTTACTGCTAGATATCATCACTGTAGGTACATGGCAAGTCCCATCTGTGTGCATGCAACTTGTCAGTACTTGCAGGTGCACAGAATGCATAGATCTCTGGGGCAAATTCCATTCCTAGTGCTGCCACTGATGGCTTTGAAACTTACCCTGTAGAAACCCAGTTTCCCATGGTGTTGAAACACATTATTCATGCGTACAAGTTTCTGCCCATGTACACGAGGCTGCATATTGTAGGATCAAGTCACCTCATTTTGCCAAATACAAGCACCCCACTGTGTGCAGTTACAAGATTCTTGTTCCTTTCTCTGCCATACCGTAAAGGGGAGCTGAGGTCCTAATGTGGCTTCATTACCGTTATTTATTTGCATAATGCTTTCAGCATAAGCACTAGGCATTGGTAAACAGAGCCAACAACATTAATTCAGAATTCAAAAAGAACAAGGATGTACTCTGGGATAATGAGACTGAATATATTGAAGCTACAGCTAGTGCTATAAAACACTGATTTGCTGTAAATAGCTTAATGTACCCCCTTCCAGCTGCATTAATATGTCTGCAGCATGTACGTGCATCTGTGTGAAAGTGATAAATGCCTCCTTAAGGCAGAGGAGCTATAAATGCAGTAGGTATGTTTCTCATAAGTGCACTGCGTTATTATAAATATTGTGTTGAATCATTTGTATTTTAGAGAATGTTTAGCATTAGTTGTATTTTTATATGGAAGGGTAACGTGTGGGGCAGGGTTGCTTTTTTCTTCACTTTGTTTTTGATCAATGTATGTAATCTTTCCATTCTTTTACATACAGGAAGGCAAGACTGTCATTTCTGTCAACATCTCCACTGCTGCCATCATTCATTTCAGAACCTAATAATGTTTCCTTTTGCTTCCTAAAACTTACACAAGAATTAATCCTGCCAGGTTTTATGGGCCTTACTTTGTTCTGCTTCTTGTTATTGTACTGCTACTGTCTTGTCAGACAATGTTATTTATTACCAACATTACTAAAAACAAGACTCCAATCAAATGTAATTTTTCATGCATGTGCTTTATGTATGACATAAATCTGTTTCTTTCCTAATCCTGACCAAAGACATGTCTTTTCGTATCTGCTGAATCTGAGAGTTTTATTCACTTTGGGCCATATATGGTAACTATATATATGTGTATATATATATTTTATCACTAGCAACTTGAATATTCAGGGGGTTGATTCAGTTTTGGAGTTTTATTTAGTTTTTTGGTTGGCTAGTTGCTGTTTTGATTGTTTTTTTGTTTGTTTTGAGAAAGACTGCACAAAATAATAGTGTGCTTTGCTGTAATTCTGTGTGACATTGACTGAATTAATTATACTCTCAAGATGAGCAGAATCTTACGATAAGCAAGTAGATTAGCCAGATGTTTCAATGTACATTTTCAGTGCCTCATTGTATTGTGACACTGCCACAAGTTACCATGTTGTCAGGATACAAATACCAGAGTGCCCCATTATGCAATGGAGATGTGGAGTTAATATGTAGCTGTATAACTGCATCCTCTGTAACATCAACCTGCAGATGGAAGAAGACAGTGGTACTTAATCTTTGCTCCTCTTTTCTGGGATGCTCAGAGAACCTAAAGAGCCCACTGTTTCATATGCCAACAGAATGCTTCACGTGCACCATATATCATGGGGTGCACTTTTGTGGCTGATCCTCCCCTTGACTCAATCTATGGAGAACATCAGCTTCACTGAGTATCCTGTTTTTCTGAGTGAAGTTCCAGCAATGCATGAGTGAGGGTGTCTGTATCGTTGTTATCACTGGTTTCTAATTTTCACTTTTACACTGTCCTTTTAATGTTTAATGCTCAGTAATCATATGTATTGCTTTAGGTTATACTGTCTATTGAAGAAGGTTACAGGCTACCAGCTCCTATGGGCTGCCCAGCTTCTCTTCACCAGCTCATGCTTCACTGCTGGCAAAAGGAGAGGAACCACCGTCCAAAATTTAGTGATATTGTCAGCTTCCTGGACAAACTGATCCGCAATCCAAGCACTCTTCATACCCTAGTGGAGGACGTACTTGTGTAAGACCCTTTTCAGTAACTTCTTTTGCATATGCTACAGTGGCTATCATCAGGTGGTTTCAGGTAGGAGTGGGAGAGAGTGCCAAAGTGCCAAATATACAGTGATATGGGGGTACTTTTGACCTCCGCTGGAGTTTTGTTTTACTTGCAATACACTGTTGCAAAAGGTTTTTGTGGTTTTTTTTCTGAAGCTATGTGGATTATATTGGCCATTTTTCTTTTTTTTCTTTTCTCTTTTCATGAGCTCTGTTTGTTCACCGTCTATCTTTAATCTTTGAGAATCTCTTTGTGGAGTTTCTTGGTGCTTCTCTGATGGTTTTTTTTCTCTTTGTAATTTTTTCTCCATTTAGCACCTTCTGTCCATCAGACTGTGTACTATCAATTTCTGAACTGCCTTAGAGTAAACTCCAGCAGAAAGCATTGTTAGCTTGCTAGAATCTATATTCATCTGCAGAAGAATGGCACTGGTGCCCAACTAGTGTATTGTACTATGACCTTTCCACAGCAAATTCTTGATAGTGTTGTCCAAAGTTTTATTAACTAATATTAATAAATAATATGTAATATGATATTACAGAAACATACACAGCCACAGGAGACATGAAACTGTAGTCAAACACGTTGTCAGTTTCCGTGTGCTGAAGGACCTAAGCTGCGTATGCTTAGCAGCTGAAATCAGTGAAGTCACAGCTGTCCTCACTGTCTTCATTAGCTGAAATTCACCTTAATATGAAGACACTTTCTTAGAGATCTCCTGGTTTGTAAAGGATTCTTGTCGCCCATCTGGGTCTTGCTAAGAACCTCAAGAGGAGATTGTTATAGGAAGCTATTGGAAAAGGGATAAGCAACAGGGAAAACATTCAGGCTAGAATCTTGCTGTGGGAAAAGTTGAAGGGTGTGTTTATGAGGAAAGCCGAAAGTAGGCTACATCTGTTTTATCTACCACAAACTACTGTGCCTTGTAGGGCTTGATGTCCACATGCTAGATTTAGTAGCCTCTTGTTTTATGTGTATGTTTTATGTGTGCATGTAAGTATATGCATATGGCTTACCACTGCACTTGGGTCAGTTTATTCAGTATCAGCATGATGCATTTTTCATTCATTTTTGTTTTAAAATATTATTCAAGATTTCCAGGATTCAGAGACTCTTTCATGTTCTCTTGCAGTTCAGCTCTTCTTGTACTCACCTTGGGAAAAATTTTGCATTTGTTTCAAAGTGCTTGATGCAGTTAATCTGAATTGCATTTCTTTAACTTATGAGTTTAATAGATATTCTATAGGAATAGAGTAATTCAAATTGAAAGAAATCACTATAAGTGTGTGAACTAGCCTTGTTCCTAGCAGAGTTCTCCTGTCTCTCTGTAATTCTGATTGTACAAATGAAAACCCACGTGTTTAATGTATTCAAATATATATGCTTGTAACTCAGCATATTAATGCACCATGGTATGTTATAAGCAAGCTATATTCCATCTGACAATGTTAGCTGGCTTTTGCTGAAAAAGAAATTATTTTAAGTAATTTCTATCTCCTTTCTAAAGGCTGTCGTAAAGCTTTTGTACACAGCTGTGTGTTGGTTCTGCATTCTATTCCTTACAGTTTCTCTACACAAAATACAAAGTCTGTGCAAGCCGTGAGAACTCATCAGCATGGTAGACAAAGGAACAGTGGAAAAATATGTCCCCTCGTTGTTTTATTTTGTTTTTGTTTTTTTTTTTTGTATTTCCATTTCAGTTGTACAATATTAGAGAAATGAAACAGAAATGAAACTAAACTAGCTTCTTCATTTTATTTGCTATTCTGTATAATTTTGTGTAAAAAGAAAAGATACAAAATATTCTTGCTTTTTTTGGTTTAGATTTCTAGCTGCTATAATCAGCGTTCCTGTTGTATGACAGCATAGCGAAAAGGAGCTATTGATTATTACTTCACAGAAAAATTATCTTGCAGTATGTTGTTATTTTTAAATGGTATCTCAGATTAAATTTTGTTTGCTCTCTAATTTGACTGCTGTATTTACAAGCAGTTATCACCCTGAAACATATAAGATCTTCAAATGAACTCTGTGTGATCAGAGTAGGAACACTGGGAGTGGTCTGTTCCTGTTTGCTTTAGAGTTGCAGTGCTTTTGAAAAGTGTATTGTTTAAGAAGTGCAAATTTATAGATTAATATAACTTATGAGCTTTAGACAGCAGGTTAAAGAGAACCTCAGTTAAGACCTGACCTTTACATCTCAGGGTCCCTGTTTATTCCTTCTGCCTTTTATTAAAAATAATGTCTCCCAGAACAAATCAAGCATCATTTTATACTGCTCAGGTGACCTTTGCTTCTTATTTCTTCAGAATGCCAGATTCACCTGGTGAAGTCCCAGAATTTCCTTTGTTTGTTTCAGTTAGTGACTGGCTGGACTCCATAAAAATGGGTCAATATAAAAGCAACTTCATGGCAGCAGGTTTCACAACTCTGGATATGGTTTCAAGAATGAGTATTGAGTAAGTATGCAATCTATTATTTCTGTAGTGACTAATCTGTTTGTTTGTGTACTGCAGTGACTTACTGTGAGGTGTTCTTTTCCTACCTAAGCTAATAGAAGATAAATACAGTTTTTACTAAAACAATATAGGAGAAAGTAGTGATTAAGAAACCTAGAAATGATAGTTTCAATTGTAACCATACAGCACACTAGAAAAGCTCAGGCAGTGAGCATCCTTAAATGTTGGAAAATGGGTTTTTGTTCAGACCAATGAAATCAGCAGCAGAATCTTTTCTTATTTTGCAATGAATATTGTCAAGTCCAAGTGATTCTTCATGTGGAAACAGTTTCATACCTTGCTGCCTTTCTTCAGCCAGCCTCAGTTTCACTCAATTTTGCAATGAAAACACTATAGAACATAAGGATTTGGAGAAATTCTGGATTAGTATAGTAGCATAATGATTCTACCTATTTTGCTCTTGATTCTCTTCCCATTCATTCCTAATCATCTACTCGATCATAGAATCACAGAATATCATGAGTTGGAAAAGACCAGTGAGTCCAATTCCTGGCCCAACACAGAACCACCCAAAATCCAAACTCTGTGTCTGAAAGTGTTATCCAAATGCTCCTTGAACTCCAGCAGTTCAGAGCCATTCCTCTGCTGTGGACAGCCTGTTCCAGGGCCCAACCACTCTCTGGGGAGGAACTTTTTCCTAATCCTCACCCAACAGTTTCCTGATGCAGCTCCATGCTGTTCTCTAGGATGCTGTTGCTGTCACAGAGAGCAGAGCTCAGTGCTGCCCCTCCGCTCCCCTCGTGGGGGGGGAGGGCTGCATGCTATCATGAGGCCTTCTCTCAGCTCCTCTGCTCTGTGCTGGACCAACCAGAGGACCTTAGCTGCCCCTCGTATGCCTTGCCCTCCAGACCGTGCCTCATCTTTGTAGCCCTCCTCTGGATGCTTTTGTCAAGCTGTGTGCTGCCCATTTGGTCCGGAAGGATAAAAAACAGCATTGAAAGGTTTGTTGAAATATAAAAGATTACGTCTACTGCCTTGTTCTCCATCTAAATGGGGACTCTTGTTGTAATAGAAAATTGAATTTGCTAAACAGAACTTTTCCCTCATGCACCTGTGTTGGCTGTGACTAATTGAACTCCTAACTTCACCTGGTGCTGTTGTGTACTGTAAAACTGAGATTAACATGAGTTGAGTTCTCCCTGCTGTTGTTCTGGGACCAGGTGACCTGCAGAGGTCCATTCCAACTTCAGTCTGTAGTTCTGTCTCTGCAGCTGTGCAGCAGTGTTGTGCTCAGCACTCTATGCCCACGTTCTCCCACTCTAAGTGTTCCATGTCTTTCTTGTGCTGGGGGCCCCAGGCCTGGACACAGCACTCCAGATGGGCTTGACCAGAGCTGAATACAGGGGGACAATCATCTCCCTCTCCCTGTTGGACACTTCTCTTTTAATGCAGCCCAGAACACAGTTGGCCTTCTGTGCATGCTTCTGGCTCATGTCCAGCTTCTTGTTTACCAGGACCCCCAAGTCTTTCTCCGCAGGGCTGCTCACAAGGGCTTCTTCTCCTAGTTTGTATAAGTACCTGGGATTGCTTCAGCCCAAGTGCAGCACCCTGCACTTGGCCTTGTTGAACCTTATTAGATTCACATGGTGCCTCTTCTCCAGCCTGTTCAGGTCCTTCTGGATGGCTTCCCTTCCTTCTAGTGTATCAACTGCACTGCTCAGCTTGGCGTTATCTACAAACTTGCTGAGGGAGCACTCGATGCTGTTGTCTGCCTCACTGATGAGGATGTTGAAGAGCACCGGTTCCAGGAACAACCCCTGAGGAACACTGCTCCTGACTAGTCTCCACCCTGATGCAGAACCATTAATCACAACCCTTTGGCTGTTGACCGGACAACCAGCTCTTAATCCACCACACAGCCCAGCCCTCAAGTCTGTACCTCTCCAATTTAGAGAGCAGGATGTAGTGAGGGACCACATCAAAGGCTTTGCGGAAGTCCAGGATGATGACATCTGTTGCCCTTCCCCAATCCATCGATGCTGTCACTCCATCATACCATTATAGAAGGCCACCAAATTGGGCAAGCAAGATCTCCCCTTGGTGAAGCCATGCTAGCTATCTTGAATCACCTCTTTGTCTCATATGTGCCTTAACAAAGCTTCTAGAAGGATCTGCTCTATGATCTTCCCAGGCACAGAGGTGAGGCTCACTGGCCTATGGTTCCCCAGGTCTTCCTTTCTATCTTTCTTAAAAATAGGAATAATGTTTCCCTTTTTCCTGTCACTGGGGACTTTGCTGGACAGCCACAATTTTTCAAATATGATGGAGAGTGGCTTGGCTACCACACCAACCATCTCTCTCAGAACCCTAGGATGGCTATCATCTGACGATATGGACTTTCAATTTTGTGTGGAAGTCTCAGACTTGTTCCACTGTTACAGTGGAACAGATTCCACTTCCCACATCCTCACCTGGAGGTTCAGGGTCCAGTAGATGTGGGAAGCCTGACCACTAGTGGAAAAAAAGATATCCAACTAGTATGGAATTATCTACCTTAAACAGAGGAATATCACTTGGCATGGATAATGAGATTCTTTTGGATGTATCAGCTATAAATATCAAAGTAATATTGTGGGAGTAAAACTGTAAATGGCTGCAGTTATTGACAAGAACATTGAGGTTTCTGAGTTATGAGAAGAAAGTGAAACACCTTTGAAATACTTATAATGAGACTCAGAAGTCACATACAAGATCTAAGATTTCCTAAGGCACTCCTCTGGATGATAGCCCCAGTGCTGGTGATGTGTAAATACTGGCTTCTACTGATATCAACTCATTCTCATTTCTGATGCTAAGGCTATCTGTATTATCAGTAGTAACAGTCAGTTTATATTCAGGAATTTTACACATGAAGTTAGAACTGGTTTTCTCTCATACATATCACTTTACATTCACCTATGCTTAATTTCACGTACTTTTTTTATGGCATAGTCTTATAGAACTTATAAAACTCTTTACCTTTCCCTTGATGCCCTGAATAATTCAATCTCACTATCTGACACTTTCACCTCTTTGCTCATCTGTTTTTCCAGGCCATTTACTGACTTGTTGAACAGTAATGTTCATCATTATCCTAGCATTGGTCCCTGCAGATTCTCGCTGATGACTCCATTGTAAAATTTGACAACCTACTCCTAATCTGTCTTCTACCTGGTTATTTATTCATGAAAAGTGCTTCTTATGACACAGCTCATTTTCCTTATATGCCTTTGATGAGAAACTTCTCTAAAGTCTTTTGGAAATCCAGGGGTGTATCAGATGGGTCATCTTCATCCATGCGTGTTGTGACTTCACCATGTTCATGGTGATTCCTCCATAAGAAACAACTTTATAAAACAAGACTTCCCTCTGCAAAAGCCATAGTGCCACTTCCAAAGCAGATCATTTATCCAGGCATTCAATAATTCTATCCTTTATTGTATTTTCTACTGTGCCTTGTAATGATTTTAGACTCACAGGTCTGCATTTCCCAGACCTCTCCAGGAAACTCTGCTTTGTCTCCAAAATAATTTTGACACCGCTCTCCATGTCTTAGGCACGAAGAAAATTTTAAGTGTAACAGTGCTGATAATCTCTTTCTCACATTGCTGTCACTGTTTCATCTTTGATCTTTTTTAAAAGCCTTGACTAAATACTTTTTTGTTCTGGATTGCTGGTTGGTTTTTTTTCAGTTTGTCCTGTAACTTGTCTTGCAGTCACTTCAACTTCAGATGGCTCCTCTGACAATTCCCCATAACAGCTCTGGCTTGTGAGTTACTCAATATCATCTGCAGTGAATGTCAACTCAAATAATTGGTTTTGCATTCCTGACAGCGGTCAGTCTCTTGATGCTCTTTTATACAGCATTCAAAATTAGACTCTACAGACACGCTGGCTGGCTTCTTGTATCCTGTGAGCTTACCAAAAAAAAAAAAAAAAAATTTATTACAAGCTCTATTATTAAGGGACTTTGGCTGGTTTTTCCTCAAGCAGTTTTGTCTGCCTTACAGCACTCTTACAGGCACTCTGCCTAAGGTTATCATCCTTTCTACTTTCTTTTTTTTTTCTTTTTTTTTTCTTTTTTCAGATAACTTCAGCTTTTTGAAAACTTCTTTTCTCTTCACATAACCTTTCTGACTCTTGGGCTCTTGGCTTCTTTCTGAGTTGTATCAGTCTGTACTTGATAAGCACTATGCACTGTTCCTGCATTTCTATCACTGCCCCACCTGTAAAAGTTTATTCTCCTAGCTGCTTCTTTTTAGTTTCTAAGATGTTCAGTATTTTTTACACAGTCCCTGCTGGTCTTAAGTGTTGTGTATTATTCCCCATGAGAATGTTAAGCCTAAACATATAGCAGTAGCTGCTATCTAGTGGCTCTTCATCTGCTGGATATGGAGTATCTTAACCTGCAAATTTGAAGCTCAGAAGGGTCACGCCTCCAACCATGGGCTCCTTTATCACCTATATCATAAAACAATTTTTAAGGCTATCTAAACAGTGCAATGTCAATGCCATGTCCTATTGTGGGGTTTCTGCAATTGACAGGATGATATTGAAGCTTCCTGTCCTTGCCACCTCTGTGATCTTCCTCAGTGTATTGTAGTTAGTGATGTTTAGAGAACTGCCAAACACCACCATTCCCCAGATCATCAGAAGCACACCTTCAGTTCCTTCAACCTCAGGACTGTAAGAGTGGGTATACCAGCCTTGGTCCTGTGTAATAATGAGTGGAACATTTGCTGCTAACATATTACTAACAAATGGCTATCAGAGCACACTTTTAAGGTGCTTTCTCAAGCTCTACAAATTATTAGCCTGTTTTAGATTGGTACTTTCAGAACAAATGGCAGTGCTCTGACTACATGGTATTTTTTTCTCAAATGGCACTTGTTCAAAATTTGGAATTGACAGACGCGGAAAATTCAGTGCCTGCAGCACTCACATATGTTCCACTTGTGGAAGTAAACTGTCCTTAAGCAGAGCAATTCATCGTATATTTATATGCTTTTGTGTGCTAGAGTTCTTACTATACTTGTATCCATGATGAAACTTTTTATCTTGCAGTGACATTAGAAGAATTGGAGTTGTACTCATTGGACACCAGAGACGAATAGTCAGCAGTTTACAGACTTTGCGGTTACACATGATGCACATACAGGAGAAAGGATTTCATGTATGAAAGTACTAGAATCAACTGTGTTTTGTGCCTCAGCATTTCTAAAACGAAAAATATTCTCATTCTTCCCTTCTGCTTTTCTCAACTTCAAGAACTGCAGTCTCCTGGTTAGACTCCAAAAGTACTTCTACGTTAATGCTTCCAAACTGGAATTTTTAATCACACTGCATAGTTCCTCTGTCAGTTATCTGCCAATAAAATCCTGACCTACTGCAAGACTTGCTACACGTTGATGAATAATAACTCAGCAACTCAGCATGGATGTGTAACTTTGTATAACAGTACTTGGGAAACTTTCACAAACTTACTGGAAAGTAGTAATCCGTTTGGCCTGGTGTGGCTTCTTTATCGATGTATTTAGAGTTTGCTGGTAGATCAAAACGTATTTGACTTCTTTCATGTTCTGTGACCATGTAACTTCCAATACCAAATGTGCAATCAAGAAGTTTCACATAAATATTTATTTTATCTTCTAATTAAATCAAAATGTATGGGTCCTATGGTTATATTACTTTATAATAGTTTAAATGCTGGTAAGCCGGTGCCTCAAAATGTGAACATTGTTTGCAAAAATGACTGATGATTTTATGTAGTGAGTTTTCATTGTGTTGGAACTGGGAGGATAGTGAGAGAAATCTGGCTGAAGTCTTCAGGTCCTTGATTCTGAATTATGTTAGCACTCGACACTTTTTATGCTTTAAATTTTAGGTAAGGTCAAAATATTTATTCAGCCCTAGGTTTTTTATTTTATTTTATTTTTAATAGTCAGCATTTGCCTCTATTCCATGGTAAATTGTCACCGGAAGACTGGATGTAATGTTTCCATAACTACATGTAAAACATGGTTGTCCGCTATACTGTGGTTACATAGACTTCAGAAAGTTTTCTGTTCCAAAAATGTAGGCCTCCACAAGCTGAACTGTCATTTCCACCAGTGGTAGTAGATTTAGAGGGTCAATCATCAGTGGGGTGCTGGAGCAGATTGGCCGTAGCATCATCCAATTGAAGATAGTGGTACAGCCACAAACTAATGCTGGAAGTTACGCTCTGTGGTGTTCAGTTTTATTATACGTAGGCAGAAAAGGAGACATAGGACAGCAGTGTATTAATATGTTGCCTTGAGTCTACTTCTAACTGCTTTTAGAAGTGAAAAGCAGACTGCTGAAGTGGAGTTCTGGTTTCTGTGGGGGCCAGATCTTCATTTAGTACAAGTTCCAAAACAATATCAAAGATAATTACTTTTAGAACTCTTCAATAGCCATATTTACATGCAAGAAAAATGGCTGCAAAGGCCTAACATAATATTTATACCTCTGTAAGATTTACAGCTTTCATGTTTTATTCATGCAACTTACACAGATGTGCTGGGCTACATTTCCAAACTTTTGCATGAGATATGTGCTGCTAGAAACTGGGACACGAGCGCATGTCTGCGAACTGGAGAAGTCACACGCAGATCTACATGCATGTCACATGTAAACTGGGTTTTTGTTAGTTTATGCATAGTTTGGAGGACATTCTCAAGTTACACGGCATTTCAATATACTTAAAGATTACAAATCTTCAGTTAAATGGCGCATTTGGGTAATTACTATAATATATTTGTATATCAAAATGAATTAACTACGTTATGTAATCATAATGATATTTAGTGCTTAATTTACAGCTTGTAAATCAAATTGTATTTCCTGACTCTCAGAAAGGCTACTGTTGTATGCTGGTGGCAAAGAAGGAAAAGCAGAAAGCAACTCAAAAAAAATTAGGCTTCCAGCTGGTTCACAGAGTTAAGACATGCTAGGCCTGATTCACTGTTGTTACCTTATGTTAGAATAACTTCATTAATTTAAATGGATACAAGTAGTGAACTGCAGAAATTTTTCTTTCTTCTGTTAAAAAAACAAAAACAATGAAACAACAGTTTTAACTGAAGAAAAAGTTTTCTAAAAGTAAGTATTCACCAGTGTTCTATGATGTCAAGTTGGTAAGCATGTTTAAAGAGGGGCAGTGCTAGTCTTATTTTAGCTACAAATTTTATCAGCATGGGTAGTCCCACTGACCTCAGACTGATAAATTCTGCCCCAATTCCAAATCTGAGTTTTTAGGATTTTTTTTTTTTTTTTTTGGCAAGGGTGCCCTTAGAGAAATAAAATCATACCTACCTTAAAAAAAACAACATCACAGAGTAATTTAAGATTTGTTTTTTCTTTATTATTTCATTTCCTAGTATGCCAGTCATTGCTTTTATGGCCATTAATGTGACATCTGTGAAAGGAGGCTGTCACGTTTAAATTTATTACTGAAGAGATATGAGTCTGTTATTTGTTAATAGAGTTTCAAAATTGCTCATAACTAGACCAGACCATAAATGTGCACTTTTAAATTCTTCTTTGAAAATTTATTCATTCTTGGTAGTGCGTACACTACACACATTACAAAGCTGTATGTTACATGAACACAATCTGGTTATACTTCATGGAAGTTAATTTCCAAACTTATCACGCTACTGAAAATATATTTTCAAATAATATATAATAACAATATAAAAACATTTATTAATCAGATCTATTTTTTATATGAATAAGAATTTGGGTAACCAGAAAGAAAAGAAGAAGAGATTTCAATGAGACCGTTTATTAAAAACATTATAAATCCAGGATTTTTGGGGGGTTTATATGGTTTGTGTTTTTTTGTTTTGGTGGTGCAATATGACACATTTATAATAGTTGTTCTGATCAAATTTACATTTAATCCATTTTGGAAACATTTGATTTGCTCTTGTTATGTTTCTAACCCTACTCTTCCATTTTATTCAGCACAAAGGAAAGTGCTACCATTACGGCTGTTTATATTTTTATTCATTCAAAAACAAGAACAAAAACACTTTTTTCAAATTGTTTTTTCAAATGTGAGCTCAATTCTGTGCAAGCTACAAGTGTAAATTTGAAATTCAAGCAACTTTCTTTATTGCAGGGAATACTTTCTTTGGGTGAAAATTCTACCATTTAATTAACCTGTATATCGTAGTGTGCAGTTACTGATTAAATTTAACAAATTCAAGTAAATCTAGAAATCTGCTTTTGAAAATCTGGCCAACATTGCACGGTGTTTCATGACTAAAAGTACTCATTGAAAATTCATGAAATAAAGACTGCATGATATACAAGCCCCCTAAAAATTGATTAAAATGTGGACACAAGGAAATAGTTCCAAGCTTGTTATTTACAAGTGATATCCATGCACAGGCTTTTCTAACAGGTGTGGTAGTCATGCATCTAGAACAAATCCATCTGTACTGTTATCACTACCTTGGTACAAGTTAAGTCTTCAGAAGATAGTTTTAATGAGGGCCTTTGTCTGCTGGGCAGGAAAACTGGGTTAGCATCTCTTGGTCAATAAGTGCACTACCCAGTTGTCCATCATGTGTCAACCACTGTGCTTCCTAAGTTGACTGACAAGCAGCTTAGATATTCATTGCAGCCAAGTGGGTCAGTCATCAGTCTAACATGGAATCTCAAGCCATCCCCACCTGATGGAAACTCAGAACCCCAAGATCTATTAGGGGGAAATTTTTTCTCACCTAACTTTGGAGGTGTGCGTTTGAGCTAGTCATCTTAGGTTCCATTTAATTAGTGAAGAGAACAGGGCCCTTGTAGTATTCACATAGTGATAAATGTCATCTGACAGATGTAATCATTAACTTTTGGGTGAGAAGAAATGTGCCAAACCAGCACTTGAGACAAAATGAGTAACTCAGCTTATAGAAGCAGAGAAGGAAGCATAGGGGCATGGAATGGCTGGGGTTGGAAGGGACCTTAAGGTTCATAAAGCTCCAACCCACCTGCTGCAGTGGCTGCCAACCTCCATATCTATTACCAGATCCAGGCATCTGTTCTTAATCTTGTGCACTGATTGTATCTAGTCATCGTGCTGAACCTCTGAAAAAGAGAGGACACCATGTGTAATGCTGATGTTGACATTAAGTGTGTAACAGCATAATGTCTGTCCAATGAAAGCTTAGGTGCACGCTGTGCTTTAATACATGAGCATCAGGCTATCTTACAGTTGGAAATAGTACACTCAGCAAGTAATTCAAGTAACTTAATTGCTCTGGACAAAGCATTCTGTGTCAGAAGATTGTTTATTCTGACACAGGATTCAAACTGTTCCACTTAATTTTTGTAATTCAGGACTCGCTATTCGTTTTCCATTTTTATACATACGCTGAACCTAATTCTGAGCTCCATGAAGTTCTTTTTCAATGCAGATTCACCTTTTATAGTAACAAAATAATATTAATGAAAAGAATTTGGTCTATTGCATCTTCTAAGAAAAGTATTAGAAATTGAAATACTTCATTTATCATGGCATTTGTGCATGGTTGAAGAGTATTGTATTGTGTTAAACAGGTTTCTTTCGGAATGCCCTTGCTCCCTAACTGCAGTTGATCTTTCCTGAGCAAATTGCAAAAATATTTTTTTTTCTTTATTAGTAGTACTATTTTTTTTAAAGAATAAGGAAGAGATCTGTTAAGTTGGGCTAACACCAAGTACTACAGTGATCTTGAAATCTCTCAGAGAGACAAATGAATCAGTACTGAAAAGGGGAAAAAAAAATCTAAGAAGGTTAGAATAAGGTGAAAGAAAACTTTCTATATCGTGCCAAGGAGTTCTAACAAAAACAAAAGAAATGGCACAAAAACAGTTCATGTATTTAGAGTGCACAGATCTCTTCTACCATCTCATCTGTGAATGCTATGGTTGTATATAGATCCTCAGATTATGGACTAGGACATACTGAGTACATAGTGGATATAAAAAATATGTGGATGTGTATATAAAGAATTGTAAATACAATGTATATCATAATGCCTGAGATTTTTCAAGCGCACATGAATTAATTATCTGGCTCTCAATAATGGTAATAGGGTTGATCTTCTCCACTGGCACTTAAAATTGTTAACTTCCCAAACTTCCTTGGCTTGTTATCTGGAAAATGGATGACAGCCTCTCTCTTCCTCCCTTCACAGGCAGAAAAAAAAAAAAAAAAAAGAAAAAAGCTTTCTTAGTTCAATGTAGTCCATGCTTATAAAAAGTTTGAGTACCTCTGTTGAAGTCACCAAAGATGAACAGTATATAAGTGATTTTCTTTTAAATAGTCTTTTATGGACTCTTTTGAGGTGAAAATAGAGGAAAAATTCAAGGGAATGTAAGTAATGATTTGCCAGTATATACTATAAAAAGGTATGTTGAATTTTAGAAAGGAAAAACAAAAAAAAAAGATGAATGTAAGAACAGAAGGCTAGAAATAAGTAGGTTAAAATAAATTTCCATATTTTATTTGTGAAATACCACCAGTTCACATCGTGAATCCTATTTGTGTGCAAATTTCTTTGAATATTCTACATCAGTATTTCCTACTCTCCTTTCACACAGGAGATTTCACAAGTACATCTCTCTTCCACAAGGGGTTAACATATTGTCTGATTTTTCATACCTGTCTAGTTAAACTGAACTTAATAAGGCTAAGTCGTGGCACTGAAGATGTGGAAAAGTGTGTTAATAAGGTCAATGTCAAAAGCATTTCAAGCTTTCACCTGTTCTGCTTTGTTCATGTCCCAAATTTTCAACTGTGTCTCAGTATCCAAGAGTACTTGACTAGTTGGTAACTCAATGTGTGTCCCAGAAATAACGTATGCAGTGTACCATGTTCAGAAACACCTGAATATGTGAAGAGTTCAGTGCTTGTGTGGCTTAATTCAGATAAAGAGGCTGACTAGAAATTGAACTATTTACATGAGTAGGGTTAGGCACAAAATGCTTGCAAATCCAAGCCCTTATAGTATATTTGTAAGGAAGAATGAGATAACATAATTTTGTCCTTTTTACATTCAGTTCTACATATGGTTCCCTTGAGAGTTCACCATATTTGTTGTTACTATGAGAAAACCTCCTGTTTCACACAAGTTTTGGGGAATATTCATCTCTAACATGGAAGCTGATTGCAACTTCATAAATACTAATACTCATTATTGACAACTCAGTGAAGAACTGCTAAGAAGCACATAGATAAGGCAAAACCCTGGGAATGATAACTCAAAATCTCAAAGAAATCTACCTGTCTGTATTGTGAACTTTGCGGTGCCTGGAGCCTTGTGTGGAGAGCAACCTTACCGCTAGAATCTGGAAAATCAGATTTGGGGAACATTTGCATTAGAATCCAATTATTTATTTCTGATTGTGAAAAATTGCCCATTGAATCAATAAAGGGGATATTTTCATAGTATCAGCTCAGCAAAAGGCTCTGAGTGTCCCCTAGAGCAGTGACCAAATAAATAAATAAATAAATAAACAAACCTATTTGCTGGTTTTCCAGGGTCCAGCCAATGATATAGAAAAAAAGTACAGTTGTCATAATTCAGGTTAGAACTTCCAGTAGACACCGTTTTATTTTCTAAACATATAACTGAAGGACTAATTTCTCTTCTTGTTGCATATTGGCTTTTTTGAGAAGAGCCTAAAAAAACAGTAAAAGGAGAGCTGTCCAACTAAGTGCTGCTTACGCATCAAATTTTCAGTTTCTTCCAGACCGAGTTCCACGTGCCAATGAGAAGCAAAAAAGAAAAAGCAAAGCAAGAACATCTTTTATCAGGCTGAGTTCTTTGATTCATACAACTTACATCTCCATCTCATTAAGTGCTATATAAGATTAGATGAAAAAGACAAAAATTGTAGCCAATTTTTCAAATCTAAAGATTCTTTTAGTTACTAAATGACAACTTCACAATTACATTTTTGTCTTGAGAAGGTTTTACTCTAGATCACCTATTGTTTTCACATTCTGATGAAGGATTTTAATATATATATATATTTTATTAATTCCAGAGACAATTAGGTAATTGTGTGAGGAATTAGTTTCATTGTTTCATAGGCACTGTTCTGTAGTGGCTTAGGAGTTTGATACTGGCTTCATTGTCAGTAAGATCAGGCCCTATCTTACAGAGACTGTTGTTGGATTCAGCTTTCCTAATAAATTCTCCCTTTCTGCATGTTACTACTGCCACAAATGATTTGCTGTTGGAAAATCAACATTTATCAGTATGCATGCTGTCTTGTCATTCAAATGTATTACTAAAACATTATACGAGTTTTAATTTCTTTCTTCAGAGTTCCAGGTTGAGATTAGCTTGATCATTTGAGGCATGAGCCAAAATCAAGTAAATCCATAAGTAGCTATCAATGGACTGTAGTAAGGTTTTGGACCAAGGGTTTCCAAAGATTTGTATGGAATGGATGGCCTACTTTAATAAGGGGAAAGAGTGCACTGATCTTAAAAGACAATGCTGCTACCTCAGGAATATGTCAAAAAAGACTATGGTTACCTTCAGTGTGGTGCAAACAAGATACAAAACACACTTGCTGTTTTATCTGGAATGAGTTACCATCACTGAGTTTGGAGTAAGTAAAACAAACATAGTAATCTAACAGAATTGTAATAGAAATGGTTTTCTTTCTTGGGTGTTTTCCCAAAGTCCTGGATTTAAATCGAGGATAAAACCACCTTCCCCATCAACAAAGAATACAACTTCTATCTGCAGGATTTGTCTCTCCTTTCTTCTTTAACATGCAGCATTATACAATATGATCTCCCCTTCATGATAGCAGTTCTCGCTGTTTTCCACTTTGAACAAACTCTGTTTCACATTCCTAGTGCAATACAGTGTAAGGTCTGATATTTGCCTGTTAATTAACGGCACAGCAGTAAATAAAATAAATAATGCCCTCCTAGTCATACTATTTACTGGACTTTTTCATTAATTCCATATTTCAAGAAAACTATGCTACTATAAAATACCCAACACATAAACATAAACATTTTAAAACTTATGGCCATGATTCTGTATCAGCCTCTCCCCAAGAAATAGTTAGGTTTGAATTGGTCATATATGTTTTTAATGTCATATCTTCTACAGCAATTTCTTTTTCTGACTTGTCTCCATGAAGAAGAAAGCTATTTCAGACAGGAGTGGGAAGAGTTGTTTATTGGTTAAATGGTGAAGGAATTGGACTCAATCAGTATTTCAGTATCTTTTATTCTTACCTAAGGCCATGGTTCCAATGTCAAAATTCCTGTATGGTATCAGTTACATCATACATGGTGCTGCTATGATTGAAAACCCAAAGACTAACGAAAGAGGCTTGCTCTTGTTTGGTGCAGTACAACTCCTATAGACTTCAGTAACAAAAGCAGTTACTCTGCACTCCTCAGGATTGCTTCTGCAATTTAACAAGGAAAAAAAAAAGGCTTAAAAAAGATCATATGAAACTATATTTACTGAATGGCAATTGCTTGTTTTCTGGCAAATCAGACTTCATTGACGAAGTTAGTGTCAAATGTTTTCACTTTCTCATCTTTTTTTTTTTTTTTTTTTTTTTTTTTTTTTTTTTTAATTTCATTTGCAGGAGAAGGAAAAAAAAAAAAACAAAAACAGAAACAAAAACAAAATGAGAAAAATATTTGCTTACCTTCCAAAAATCAGCTTTTATTTCTCTTGGGACACAATGTGGTCAGTATGTCTTCTCAGGATAGCTTCTATTTCTCTGTGTTGGTTTTAAACGTATTTCAATTAAAGGAGTTTTGATCTCTTCTGTGAAATTAGATTGTACACAACTGAATATGACTGCTCTTCATAGTCCGCTGTTCTAGCATAGCCATAACATGTATCAGTGTATGTGTATATATGAATAACTATTTGATGATGGAGACATTGTATATTTAAGCAGCCATGTCAAAGTTTTAAAGGTAGATGGCTTCAAACCTAACAGTATAATCATACTTGCAAAACATTTTACAGACAAACCATGGCCTCAGCTCAGATCTCATATCCTTATCCGTATCCTTCAGAAACCACTCTTTCTTTAAAGACCCCAGATCACAGTTGTTTTTCAGCTGCTTTTTTTATTCTCACGAAGACATATTTGAATAATGATGACTACCTGTAAGTGAATCTTCACCATCCATCTCACAGAAAAGCAACCTTGGCACTGTGCCTCTGAGTTGTATCTTCATCAGTCTGAACCTGTGTCGCATTGCACACAGCAGGCAAGATCTACTAATTCTGAGAGACTGGACATTCCATAGCTGGTACTGTGACTGCCCCACTGTTCAGAACAACCTTTTTTTCTTCATGCAGTTTATCTCCCACACACTCTCCGAGCACATTTTTTCTTTCTGTCTTTTAGCCGGTTTATAACAGTGTTGCAGGAATAGCCATGAAACAGAAACCTTAATATACTGATTTTGCAGACCCAAGGGGAATTCACATTACAAGTGAAGTTATTATTTTCTGAAAAGTGGCGTTACCATTTTTTAATTCTATTCCTATGATAATACGATGTTCCATGTAAATTCTCATGTGCTGGCATGCCTACGAGTTAATAGTGTGATAGAATGCTCAGCTCTCAACATTAGAGTGTTTTTAAGGTGAACTGCATTACATATGCCATCTCTTTGCAGAAAGAATATGGGGTTTGGCAAAGCTACCTGCTGAGCAACATAATAAGATTTTTGTACAAAGTACAAGTTACTGATTATTATTGTATTTTATTTTTCTATGATTTCCTAAGAGGCATTATCAGGTCTTACAGATGGGGTAAGCCTGTTTATTAAGATATTTATTAGCAAATAAAAGTTACAGTACTGGTGGTTATTTTTGAGTTAATGGTGTTTGTTTTGCCTTAGGTTATCAATATAATGATGCACAGTGAAGCCTGTCATATATGATCATGCAAAAGAAAAAAGGAAAAAAACAGCTGCTTAACACAGGGTGGTGTACTAATAAAGATGGACCAGCAATATGTTCTAACACTTGAGATGCTTCAGGTTGTTGTGTTTTTTTCTGCAGCAAAAGAATGCTTAATTATAGTGGCCTCTCCTGTGCTTACCACTGAGCACTTACGCTCTCATGTACACTCATGTACACTTTTTCAAAAGGCATATACAGCTAACAATGTTAGGAAATACTGTACACCTTAAAAGCTTCAAACAACAGCACTCTTCCCTGCTTAAGAAACACTATCCAGCTGAATTTTAAAAAGATTTTAATTTGCTATTAAGATTTTGCATTATTGTTCACTCTCTTTACAGTGGTATTATGTAAGTAATACCAAGGTAAGAGACTGGGATTCTCAGAGAAGTAGAGTCCCATACAAAATAATCAGAGTATAGCCTCAAGAGGACAATTAACCCTTCATTTCACAATGTCATATTTATGCAATACAAGACCCACAGAATTATATGTATATTAATAGAAAATGAATGTCATAGGTCCAATATCTACTACATGTTGCATATTTTACAGGGGAAGAGTTTTCTTACTTGGGATGCAACAAAAAATGAATATTTCACTTTAGATTTGGCTCCAGAAATGCCTTTGCTGTTCTCATCTCTGTTGAATTTAGAACTAGTTCTGTATACAGACTTATTTTGGTATAAAACAAGGAGGAGATGAAACTCCCTTCTAACACACTCACCCCCACTACCTGATTAGCCTTTGGAAAATGCTTGGACTCAGAGGTTCAATGTGACATTTATATCACTTGATTTTCCTTGAGTACCTCATGATTATTAGGGATCTCATCGTTCAATCAAAACCCTTCTGAGCTTGGGCAAGTCACAATTGCTGTTTACCCCAGACCTTTAATAATAATAAAAGCGACAATAAGGATAAGAAAGCCAAACAACAGACAACATGTCAGCAGTATTTTTAACCTTTCAAGATTAATGTGAAGCATGTTACGACTAGAAAGATTTTTAAGCAGCTGGTTTTTAAGGGCTGTGCGCATCGCTACAAAACAGCTGTTACTCCTACTCTCCTACTCTCCCCAAGGCACCAGTTAGGATAAAAAGTAGTCTGAAAGCACAGGTGAAACTAGATTACAGTTTATTGCAATGAGGGATGAAGTTGTGTGAAGGAAAATTGCCTCTTCAAACCAAGGAACAGCACAGACATTTTGGGATGCAGGGGAAGAACCCCTGTCTACCCCTCACTCTTCGCTTTTGTTTAAAAGTAAAATACAAACCCAAAGAGACGTTTTATATCTGGCAGCACAGAAATCATAGATTGTAGCAAGGGCATTGAAAGGTCTGAGGTGTTGGCTTGCACTCTACTTCTGTGAAAAGTAAGGATGGGTTCAACTGCTGAGCTCTTCCCAGCATCCATTTCTTCCTGACCTTGTAGGGTCTAATTACGGTCTGCGGTGGAGGGTATCAACCTGAACACTGGGGGAACACGAGCAATCTTTAAGTCCTATCGATTCCTTGAACTGAAGTGAGACAGGGAGAGAAACTCATGCTAGAGGTCCAGTTAAATGCCTGATGAGACTTCCTAAGGATAGCCCTGGTGGCCTCTCAGTGTCTGAAGGGGGGCTGTAAGAAGGCATGGGACAGACTCTTTAGCCGAGTCTGTGGTGGCAGGACAAGGAGAAATGGTTTCAAACTGAAAAAGGGGAGATTTAGACTGGATGTCAGGGAAAAGGTATTTTTCAATAATGGTGGTGAGGCAGCGGTACAGGCTGCCCAGAGAGGTGGCGGACTCCCGGTCAGCTATGGCATTTAAAGGAAGGTACACGGCAGGAAACAGACTGCATTTTAGTTTCAATCTGCCACGTTTTTTAAGCCACCTTAAGCATGTACACCAAACCTAGAACCACTACGCATAGCTGCGCTAAGTCGCTCCGCAAAACCGAAAGCAACCCCAGGCGGCTCCGCGGGGCGGGGCTTTGAATGGCGCTGAGTCGGCGCCAGCTGCGGGAGTTCCCCGGAAGCGGCGTTGTTACCACGGCAACGGCGCAGGCGGCGGCGGGGCTGAACTCGGCCGACATTTCGTAGGCCGAGGTGTGTGGTTGCGGCGGGGGGGGGTTTGGAGGCTGTGTGTGCCGGCGGGTGGGATGGGTTAGCTTTTTATGAGAGAAAGGGAGGGAGCTCGGTTCTGCCGCTTCAGGGCTGCTCTCGGGGCTTGGCGGCTCGCACTCGCTGCCTGTTATCCGTGAGGCTCCGATCGAGAGCTGTGCTGAGGGGTGGGTTTGGCAGTGGCGTGCCGGGCCGCTCTGCCCTCACTGTGTGGGAAGCTGCAAGCGCTGCCCGCCATCGTCGGTAGCGCCGTCTGAGCCGTGCCGCTGAAGCACGCAGCTGCTGCCTGCAGCTGTGGTGGGTTGTTCTGAGTGTAGCTGCGAGGTTCTCTCCTTCCCAGCTCTGATGTCTGCTGTCCTCCCAGGCCTCAGAGTGAATGTGTGAGATTGCCCGGAGTAACTCTGTCTTACTGGGGCAGGCGATGAGTTTTGAACAGGCAGAAATATGTAGCAATGGAAAGCGTAAATATAATTCCTCTTCTTGCATTAGTCTTCCTTCAGCATCTTCCACGCGGTTCTGCAGTCTTCAGTTGTGGTTAGCTAGCAGAGCTTTGTACTTTATACTCCTGTATACTTTACAGGAGCTTCTGCACTTGAAGTTACATGTTTTGGAGAGCTGCTGCTTGACCCAGCAATTAACACTGGGCTGATCTCCGCATTACAGGCTGTAGCAAGTCAGCTCAAAAATGTAGAACAGTTGGGGAATGTTTCCTATTGGAAACTTTGTGATTTTATTTTGCGGATCTTACCTCTAGAGTTTATAGATGAAGCTCCAGATTGGACAAGAAAGAAATGCTGGGGTTTACTTGATAATAAACAGTAAGCTTTAATCTGCCTTCAGTGTTTGTATGTATATTAAAATAAGGAGTTGGACATAAGGTAAGTGGAGTTAGAAGGAAACTAACCATGAGTTTTTTTCTTTGAGGGCATAGCTGTAGGTAGCATCAGGCTTCTTTAATCTGTTGCAACAAAGCTGTTCTAGGTTATAGCAGCTTCCTCTGGTATTAATTAAATGTCTCTTTGTTACTGAATGTGTCACGGTTGTTTGATTTCAGCTCATAGAGGAAGTTGTTCTCAGAGGATTTGATTTGGGGTAGACGAGGCTTATCCTCTTAGCAGAGTGTGCACAGCCAGGCACTCTGTGGGAGGCATGATGGAAGCTCCTGGAGTACAGCTGCCCACTGACTCGGGTCAGCATCATGGCAGGAGCTTTGTACTTTATGGCAGGAGCAGGGCTTTGGCTTCCAGGTGACACGCAGGGGGATGCTGCATTGTCTGGCTTGCTGTGTGCCAAACCTGGCCTGATCAGAGCTTCTATTTGTGGCTTATGGGATCTCAACTGACACGTGCTAACGTCGACAAAGCCCATTACAATTAGAGTTTGAATTGAATTGACAGAGTGCACTCCATTTGCTTCCAGGTTCAGCAACTCACATTAGCAGGCACTGAGGAAGGTAGATATTGTTTTGCTTTGTTGTGTAAGATATGATGACTGAGAGATTGTGGGCAGTTTGAAGTGCAATGTGCTTTACTCTCCTTCTGTGTATTGAGAGGCAGGTAAGGAGGTGTTGGCATGGTGCCGTTACTGGAGTTGCTTGGAAGCACCACAGAATTGCTGTCCAGTGAATTGAGGACGGTGCCTTTACATAGACAGGGCTATAAGCAGCCGATCTCATTCGTGCGAGGGCTTCTTGGCTGTAATCAGCTTATGCTCCATTTGCTTAGCATAGTGAGGGAACCCGCTGCGATGGTGTTTGTGCAGAGTCTTATTGCTGCTGCCTTTTGGAAAGTGTAAGGGCTTCTTATCCACATGCCCACTTGCTGTGCCAGTGCTGCTGTCTGCATCGCCCTTTTCCAACAGCTATTCCCTCCTCGTATTGTCTGATCAACAGGTGATCCGTGTGTGTTTGACCCAGAACCATGGGACTGTTTGACAAGCTAGCAGGGTGGCTTGGGCTGAAGAAAAAGGAGGTTCATGTTTTGTGCCTTGGTTTGGACAACAGTGGCAAAACAACAATCATCAATAAACTTAAGCCTTCAAATGTAAGTAGCCTGTTTTGTTTATTGCTAATGTTTTACTAAGGAGCTGTTGTCTGTATAGCTGTTTATATTGAATGTGATCATGAAAAAAGATGTAAAGTGTTCTTTGATTTAGCACTGTAGAAGAATCATATCTTAAGAGTTCCAAGCTAACTAATG